GACGCCATACATGCCGCTCCCCCTCTGCTGAGGAAACAGTGAGAAGCAGAACTCTGTGTAATAGCCTTCCTAGACCTGGAGAAGGCATTTGATCATGTATCTCGTGACCTCATATGGTACGCGTTGCGATAGCACGGCGTACCCAAAGAGCTAATCGAGTAGATGCTCATCCTTCATTCGAATCCAGAAAGCAGAGTCCGGACGCCTGCGGGCACTTTAATGGAGTTTCCAGTCACCGTCGGAGTACACCAGAGATCTGCGCTCTCCCCACTCTTTTTCATGGTCATCATCACACGAGACCTCTAAAAAGAAGTTCCTTGAATGCTTCTTTATGATGTGAAGCTTGTGTGCGAAAATAAAAACACGCTCGAGCAATAGATGCAAGCTTGGGCTGAACGCTTGGCGAAGTCTGGGTGCAGATGAAACGACAAGAAGACCGAGTACTTGACAACTGAACCAAGCGAGACGGGCTCCACCATAGTCAACGGCAAAGAGCTCATTCCTACAAGAACATCCAAGTATCTCGGATCATCAGTGGTCAAAATGGCGATCCTTCACTGGCGTTCTTCGCAACAAGAAGATGCCAGAGCACCTCAATTCGGAGAATCAGAAAAACTCTCTATGTGGTGCCGAATGTTGGCCCGCGACCAAAGAACTCGAAGCTCGTCCCAATGTGATGGAGATTTATTTTATTTCATCTATTTATTTGTATACACCCAAGGTGTGCCACGGACTCAGGAAAAAAGTTGGAATACGCAGCAAATGGCACAGTGAAGATTTGTAAACAAAACAAAAGAATAATATAACAAAAACAACAGGAAAAGGAACACTGGAAGCAAAAGAGAAAGACTAGGCTGTGAGTCGAAGTTCCAAAGGAAATGAGTACCGGGACCTTCATTGCGACAGGACACTAAAGTCATTTTCCCAAAACCCCATTGAAAAAAGAAAATTCGAAAAATTGGCGTCCGAACTTGGAGTTACGTGCAGCGTGCGGCTTTTAGGGCATGTCGAGCTTCTGCACAACGAAATGTATCGTATTGTATCACTCGTGATTAATGTATTGTATCACTCGTGCGCGTTTTACTTTTTACGCGTTTTACTTTGCGAGATGGGTTGCATTTGACTGTATGTGCTCCCAATAAATGAAACATAATAAAAGGGAGCAGAATCACAGTTCTCTTCATTGCAGACCGGTGGGACGGCTGAGCCGCGCTGCGCGCGACGCGGCTGTGACTCGACTGTCATGACAGTCTGTAATGAAGAGGACTGTATGTATGGGCACAAGCGCGGTCAACGAAAAGTACATGCAGTTTTGATTAATGCCCGCCGCTCCAACAGAGAACAACTGGGCGGCTCTCCGTCGGAGGGCAACTAGCAATTGGGCGGTCCAACCGGGTGGGCGTTAGAACTAGAACTTTGAGCGGCTGTAGCTCGCTCCTCGCTCACTGTGGAGCCGCGGCGTGAAACAGTTTCTAGCTTGGGGCTGTACTACTTGCACAAGGAAGGACGACCACGTACTACTTGAGCGCGGGGGCTGTCTTTAAGACGTGACGACCGAGCGGGTTTTTACTTTTTTGGTCTCGTGAGACACGCGCGCTTTCTCGAGCGCCACAAGCGCGGCGCATACAATTCACGCGGTCCCGCCAGGCGTTTTTTTTTGGAAAGGTGATCAGAAAATCTGGAGAGAGCAATTATGAAGTAAGTCAATCTATGGAAAAAATTAGGCTGGCCACCTCTCGTTGCACTAGGTGCCAGGAATTTTTCTGCATTCAATGTTTTCATAAAAACACAGGTCGTGCCCACTATAGGAATCAGGGTCTTTCATCTCATTATTTTTTATCAATATCAGTATTGTATTTGTCTGTATTTGCTAGTAAAAAGTTGACGACCAAACCAATCCAAGCAAAGGGTGTTCTTTTCCCAGGAATTCTTTGCTAAACTAGTGTGTACTGAATCATTCCATGGACCACGCGTTTACGAGTAGATTAAGGACTGAACTATAGAAAGAATATGCGAAACTAAACAAAAAATCATGCACTAGCGAAAGATACGAATTTGTTGGTCGTGATTCGTATTCAATGCACGAGGTGCCACGTGGCCTACAAAGCGTGCATTCAATGCGTATCACGCGGTCGTCAATGTATTAATATGAGCTGCTGCGGCATTCACTGATACGTCGCCTCTGTATCTCCGGATTTTCAGGCAAGAGGAATGAATAAACTAGATTTATGTTGGGTCGTTATTTCGGTTAGTGAGGTTTTTTTGAACCGATATATGCTTGACTTGAGATCGACAACCGCGAGAACTTTTCTCACGACGTAACATTTTCGTTGCATTTGAAATATATCAGTAATTTTTGTAGATTGGAGTAAGCGCATAAAGACGAAACGTCGTCGCGAACGAAACATCGTCGCGAAAGGTTTGAAAAAGTTTGTTCCAACCGTTTTCAGGAAATATCCAGAGAACTTTAGGAGGTGGAATTGCACAGGAGAATGATTACCATTGACGTGATTGCAGTGCCAGTAGGAATCGTATATACAAGTGGTCCTCTGCCAGTCACGGAACCAATAGCAGTAGGCGCAATTCTCTGGAATTTGTATCCCTGAAACAATCTGTTAACGAAGAAATACAAATCACTCAGTTTGGAAAGAATCGATTGGTAACTTACGCTCTGATCTTCTCCACTAATTTGCACGAAGAATAAGTCATTGGGAGGAACGAACGGTCCAGCGAAGTACAGATGTGAAGCATTTCCTCGAATGGTAGCGTTGGAAATGTAGATGGTTTTACCTGAACAAGCGTCCAAGTAATTATAGCTAAGAAGGGTAGGCTAGTTCATCCTTGTATCCGCGATGGCCATTTCGTAAGTAATTCGGACTGAAGAGTAGAAATTTCACTAACGGCCTTGTGATTGTTATTTGGCTCGTGTGAAATAGCGTCAAAAAATTTTTGCGGTCCCCTTTTCTCTTTCCTGAGCAACGTGCTTCCATGTAGTGTCAAAAAACAGAGGACATTCCCATACCATCTTTCCACTGGGACTTTCTTATTACTGAAGGGACGGGCAAAACAAAAATGAACGAATTTTTTTCTCTAATAAGGCTGCAACATCACTCTATTTCGTAACAACCTACAGAGACTCGCAGTAGAATTCGGTGGAAAACAAGTCAATTGCTCGCAAACTTTTTTTTACATCCAAGCCTAATATTTTTATAATTAATCCAGCACCTTTTAGCAGAACTGTCTTCGTTTTAAATGACCCTCACAGTTAGAGAAATATTTATCCACTTAACCATCGCTTGCTCTGGTAACTGTGCCGTGACCTCATGATAAAAATGATTTGTTCGTAGCGTAATTGCAAGTAAAAAAATCGAGGCTTCTATGCAGTTGATCAGTCTATTCAGTGGACCGCCTGAAAAGTAGACAAGATCGCATCTATTGGTCATTGAAGAGGTGCGCTCATATGAGCGAACTTTTCGCAGCCCAGACAGAGGAAGCGGATATGAGTACCAGGGCGGAAGATACCCAAGATCTTCCTCTATAAGCAGGAGCCGCCTGCTGCCATTCACCTTCATGTGCACCAAAATATGACGTCATCTCCAGTCGCGGCTTGAGTAGAGAACGCCTTTGGAATTCACGTGGCCTCCAAACAGCTGCCTACTTGAATGGAATCACCCATGGATAGCTACCTGGAGAACAGTACTCTTGATCTGCGAAGACCTCAAACATCGAGCAGCTCCGGCAACGTCGCTACGGTCCAGTGACATCATCTTCACCCCATTCCACCAAGGCGCGGGTTGATGTGTGGACCGCGCGTACCTGGAATGGATGAACGCGATATTTTCTTCGGGGCCCCAGACTGAGGGTGTGCGTGGTGGTCTACATCGAGCAACTCGAGGAGAATATCCCATCTTCATTTCGCCTGTACCTTCTTGGAAACTTGTACTGCTACAGGATTGGGTGACAACACATTCAATCGACGGAACGTTGTGGACAAACTTTCGCCACTTGAAATGAAAACGTTGAGTACCTGGAAAAGATGGATTATTCAAGCGGGGGTCCTGAACTAAACCCCCTCAAATAAATAAAACATTGATAGCATTCATTTTGAATCATTAGTGACATAGTGAAAAGAAGGGGCTACCATGTTGAAGGACGAAAATAGGATGAATGATCTATCAATACATACATTGCCTTGATTGCCTTGGCGGGCTGACCAACAGGGGCGGTCGATCGATAGCTGGCCGTGCAGATAGGCGAAGGAAAGTGCCTAAGGTCATGGGTAACTTATTAAATAATTTTTAGATGCATGCATAGTATTTCTCAGGGGAGGAGTTTTTCAACAATATAACATTGACTAAATGCGAATTTTCTGTCAAATGAAGACTCGACGTTGACTGCCGATGCATTTCTATAGAAATTGTAGTGTCACTCAATACACTGGAAATTCCATTCGTCAATGAAATACATATTTTGACCTCTTGTCATAGGATGTCCTGCGTTCAGGTAACCTTTCCAGAACATTGAGGTAGGAAGGGCATCATAGAACAGGCCTGTTATGGGTTAGAGCTGTGGTTAGAGCTCAACCAGTGGTCGAGACTTTGCCAAAAGAGACACCCAATGAATTACAGTCTTGAAAAAATTAGTATCGTTGCGACAAGCATCATGCGAAAAACACAATTATCCATTTCTCAATCATTCCTAACGCAAAGGAGCAAGTTACGCGATTCCTACATGTTTTCATTTTTAAGGGTTGTCCTTTGGTTATGATTATAGCGAGGCTCGCTCGCAAACCAGTCCCTTCAGGTACTTCGAGAGGGTTCCAACATCGTAATTTCTCAGCCTCTCAGAACATCATCGTGTAGAGCTCGGCAAGCTGAACCTAATGATGTAACCGTCCATGTGGAAATATGAACATAAATTGAGTGATAGAAAAAAAAACAGAAAAAAAACGCGAATTGGCGTTTTTTTCCCTAAGAGTCGGAGTGGGCTTGTAGAAATATTCAGATATTCAGTAGCTGATAGAACGTAAGATGAGTAGGCTTACCGTAGTAATCCACTAAGGCTATCTTGTTGACTATGCCTGGCTGGAGTAAGCCAATCACGTTCACCAGGACATACGTGTTTCGGTGGGAAACAGGTCTCGGATGTGCCTTAAAAAGTCAGAGGAAGGTGTACTTTTATCCAATCGTGTACTCGTCAAAACATTCTGCTGCACCATTTCAAATCGTTCCAGAACCCTGCTAGTAAACCCATATTCGAAGTCGATACTGCCATGTCCAAATATCCGAACAGTGTGCTTCAGCCGAGAATTGGTTATTACCTATGAAAATATCGTGATATGATCTAAAAGAATGTGCTGCGCAAGCATGACTAGCATGAGCATGAACTTCACCTGCCAAAGCCCAGGTAGTGGCTTCCTTATTCTAAGTAGTTTTACGTTTCTGAGACTGATAGTTCCTCCTTCCTGGCTGTAGATATTCTTTCTCAATGTTCGTCCTAAAGGAGACATATAATGAAGTTTGCAAACATTCAAAGGTCATAGTTACTTTCTTCAACCACATTTACATCATAGACACACCCACAAAAAGTCCAACAACAGCTCTTGAACATACCCCATGACAACAGATTCATACTGCTAATCGAAGAGGCTACGAAAACCATATCATGAGGTACCCACTTCCGTGCTCCTCACCCACTCGTGTGCTCCAAACTGGACCAATGCTCGAGATTTTCCGAACAGAAAGGGCTATATCGTCCAAGAATGACATCGAGCGAAATCCCTCTATTTTAAGGAAAATGGGCATCCTAATGATCAGGATCATTTGGGAAACCCAACTATCTCATTTTTAATCACTTCTTATGCGTTTAATCACTTCTTATGCGATAAAGTACGTTATTTGATTCCTGAATGATTTGATTCCCAACGTTTACCCGCTGGTTACAGTTATAGCGAGGTTCGATGGCTAACGAGTGTCCTCAGGTACTTCGTTGGGAAGTGGAGTTGGATTTCCAACTTTTCAGTTGCTTTTAGGATGACAGCTTATAGAACACGACGAGCTGAGTCTAACAGTATAGGGTTTTACATGAGAAGAGACATAGCAAAAAAAAACAGAAAAAAACGGGGATCTTTCGTTTTTTTTCGTACGATTACGGCGGGCATTGCACTTCAAAGCTGTTCATCGTATTCTATGGAGCCGCATAAGAGCTTTCCAGGGTCGTTGGCCATAAGTCAGATACTGTTCTTCAAGGCCGATTTATATAGATATCAAGGAAAGAGTGGTCAATGAACCATTGATTTTCAGCTGAAATTTGCTGAAACCCTGCCATGAAAGTATCAAAATGATCACGGAATCATGCTCTTTCTGAATATGCTAGTATTTATGGCTTCGTGGCACTTGGTTGAAGTTCATAATTGGAGTGGAGGGTCGACGACGCAGCGTATCCGCAGGTAACACCTTAGGTTACTGGAGACTCAAACCTCGATTTCCTTGTGAAAAACGTCAAAAAATTGGAGGCAATCGAGTAGGAAAGTTCTAAACATTGCTGGATTCGCTTGAACAGGAATCGAATGGTATAATTTTCAGATCATTTGGACCACATCAACAGAAGTTATGGCAAAACGACGGCTTGCGACGGAAAAATCTGTCGCAAACCGATTTTTGACCAGAAATTAGGGCGGTATTGCAGTTCCATTTCAACTTTCCAGGTGCAGATATTGTGCAAAACATATATATTTCCCTTTTTGAAAATTGTAGTTGTTATTCATGGGGGTATATACTCTAGTAAACAGAAAGGTCCAGGTATCGAAGTTGGATAACTATACAGGATACTGATAGCCATCAGTTCAACAAGACGAACCATCATAGCAAGAACAGCTGGAGGAAAAAAATTTCGCTGAAAGGCTGTATATAGAGATTATTAACGGCCCTGACCACGTTACTGACCTTTATAATTGGCGCCTAGGCCATTTGCCGCCAACATGGCTCCGAATACCCCCCCCTAACCTGCGGGTTGCGCTGCGAGAATCACAGAAACTACAATGCTACCTCTCTGTGCCAAATAAAGTAATAAAGTACCTTGTCTTGTATTGTTTTGGATGCAGTGTCGACAAAGTTCTCATTAGCTATACATACTCGAGATTAGAAACATAAAAGAGCCTAGAAAAATAGCTCAAAACCGATTTCCCTCAGCAAACTTTTCGTTCATTTTTTTGACATTCCCAGAAATGCATAGCAAAAACGGAACCCATTTTTTGTGATTTTTATATGGACCCCTACAACATGCAACAAACCATTTCTAAAAAGCGCGCCATGACCTGAAAGACCTCCCTTGTGAGTCCAACCACACCTGGAGGAAAAAACACTGACTTGTACAACAAGTGGCTTGCGCATATCATTGCATAGGTCAGTCGCACTCAGCAGTTCATCTCAACTATTAATGGAAGTAGAATGCGTGTCGTATATATCAAGAATGATTTGGTGGCGGGAGATTTAGCCTTTTCTACATCTTCCATCTATGATTTCTTGCACGTGTATACTTCTCTTGTGAATCAATGTGCTCCTTTCACCTTAGAATCATTAAAATATCAACTGTTCTCCACATTTTTTAAATTCCACATCAGTAGACTGGCTTATTAAGGACCAAGTTCCGCATAATACACTTATTACGACATGAAAAAAATTTGAAATTTTACACGGGTCACCTGGATGCAGTCTCCATAGGGCACGCTGTGATCTTCAGTTGCACTTCTAAATTTGAATTCTGCTGGTAAACGCGAAATTATTAATGCCTCGCAAGAAATCAGGAGTAGTTTCAATAACCGATGTTCTTCAGCTGAACGTACAAGGCAGGGATTGCCGAGAGGATGAGAGAGTAGGCTCATGTTTGCGCGCTGAGCCACGAGTTCGATGCTTGCCAAAGTATCCACCATGCCTTGCGAAAAATTGCAAAAATGGGTACCAACATCAGGCCCTGGTTGACAGACCGACCGATCGAGAACCCTGTCACTACAGTCATGACAGTGCAAAGGTATCAGTGTTAATGCTAGGACGTCACCCAGAAGTGGCGCGCAGAACCCACGCCTGAGTTCTGTGATCAGTATTCGAGGGCCACCGAGGGGTGACGACCTCGGCCAAGAAGATGGTCCACATTGAGACCCTGAATATGGAATCGCTTGCCGAGAAGTCTCCACAGATTGCCTACGTCATGAGATGCAATAATATCAAAGACCCATGCCTTTAGAAAACGCTCTGGAAAGGAGCGAAGGCCCGCGAGATTGAGGAGGGATCAAACTCTCCTACAGTGGGGGAGACACCAAACAGAGTGGTGTGGTCGTAGCTGGTAGCGAATTCCTCTAGGACTGCATCTCTTCTGTGAACAGAATTAGTGTTCGGATCATGGGAGTGAGAATAGACACGAAGGAGGGGTACTGGACAGTGCTGACCCATAACAATCCAGTTCTACTCGACGAGGCCATAAGATTGGTTCCGAAAGTTAACTACCTCACTAGTTGGTGATCTGAATGGCTATTTGGGTAGTGACAGAAGGGATTTAGAGGGTGGGAGCATAAGGCCAAGTGATAGGAGCAAGGAACGCTGAGGGAAAACGGATGCTCAACCTAGCCATAACTCACGAAATGGCATTCTGTAGTTGCGAAAAAGGATACAGAAGGTAACCTACAGCAGTAGAGGGAGACAAATGGAAATCGACCGTGCACTGGCGAGAAAATCGTTTCTCAAGACGTGGAGGATATCAAGGTACTGTCTGGGAAGAAGCTAGGCCCTCAGCACAGGCCTCTCCTGGCAGTCATCGCCATAAACTTACCCAAGAAAGCGATGGTGAGAGTCGAGCGGGGATTTCGGTGGTGGACAATGCAAACGGTGGAAAGGATAGCTTCGGCAAAGAATTGCGGGCTGAGCTCCCGGACACACACGTGCCAGTCTACGAGACGCGGACCAAAGCAGCAGAGGTCACCCTTCAGGGTGGGAAGATCTGTTAGAGACGCGAGAGGGTGGATCAGAGAGGGCAAGGCAGCGTGGTTCTGGGAAGGTCCAGGAGGTCGTCAAGCAGAAGAAGGAAGTGTACAGACGCTGGCAAAAGATGAAGAGCTCAGAAGACCTCGGTGACCACAAGAGCTGCAAGCGACTCGTTAAGGCAGCCGTTGCCAAGGCCAAGAACGGAGAGAGAAACGGTGCCATTCTCGGGAAACCAGACGAAGTCGCAGAGAGTTGGGAAGAATACTTACAGGAGCACCCAAACGAGAGATTCCCTTGTGAGGACTGCCTACAGATAAAGACGACAGAATCCATCACTCCCTGTAAGTCCGTGAGAAGTGGAAGGAGTGACGGTTCGGAAGGCAGTGGGTCCAGATGGGCTACCGAGGCAGCTAGGCCCTTGTAGAGCGCGCGGCAAGTTGGTCCCCCACTTCCTGAACAGCGTACTAGCCGAAGGAAGGATGCCGGATGTGCGAAAGAGTAGCACGATAGTCCCCATATTCAAGCAAAAAGGAGACACAGAGTGCTCCAACTACCGTGGGGTCGAGTTGATTCCGCATACCATGAAGTGTAAGAGCGGTTGTCAACACAAGGCCATGGGAACTTGTTCTTGTCTCACAGGAGCAGTTCGGCTTCAGGTCGTAAGGAGCAGTTCAGCTTCAGGTCGTAAAGAACCACGACTGATGCCATTTTCATCACTAGAGAGGTGATGGAGAGGATCGAGAAAAGCGGCGACCCTGCTACCTAACCTTTCTGGGCTTGAGAAGGAGTTCGACCGGTTGACTTGGCCTGTACTTTGGGAAGTTGAGAAGTGTTCAGAGGAGAAAAACGTTTAGGAGCACCTGATCTCTTTAGTGAATGACATGTATCATGGGACTAAGAAGGCTGTAGCATCCTGCACGGCTTGACAAAGGAAATAGACCCCGTTTCTCTACCTCTCGATTGTGGATGTCACGACAAAAGAACTCATGGAGGAGTCTCTGAAAACCATCGTCTACGCTGACAACATTCGTCTAACATAACAACGAGGTCTAACAAAACAGCGAACCTTGGTCTAACAAGAAGTTGAAGATTCCTCACCTGAACATGCATAACACATAATACCTTTTCCATTAAAAAATGTTATGACAGAAGTAATACTGGGTTGGTGGAAAATTCCCGCCATATTATTCTGATTAAACATTCTTTTGTAAAGGATCGTTCGAAAATCCAATATTATGTTGTTCCAGAAGTTCTTAACATTTTCTGAATCTTGTCTCAGATATTATCGCAGCTATTTTGAAATCCATGTGCCCATCGGAGCGTCTCCAAGACACATGGTACGCTCAAACACATTGAGGGCGTGTGAGACTATCAGCCACCCAGCTGTCGATGTGTCGTGGTCCCCCCCCCGCCCAAAACTGCACGGGGTCAGAGTACGGGGGACGTGTGGAAGTCGTGATTCCTTGCTACACCGCCCCCACGTTTATGCTAACACCACCCGCGCGGCGCGGTCGCGTGCAGCTCTTGGCTTTTTGCCAAGTCCTGTAATTGCGCTTTGGAATATAATTAAACGCAATTTCTTTATGCGTATAACATTTTAGGTGCTGCAAAATAAGAACCGATGACGAAGGCTAGAACTCAAGAGCAACTGTGCTGCTTCTGCAACAGCCAGGCCGCGCATTCCCACAGAACAATAGATTTCCACATTCGCAATTTAGTGACTATTCCAAAGTGCACGCTGTCACGGTAGGAGAAGGGGTGGGATGTGAAGCATGAAAGCAGCCCTCAATCTCAACACTATTATCATGTTATATAAAACTGACATTTAAGGTCGTGCTTCATTGTGTTCCCGTCACGAGACCTGGTGCTAACATTGCTTCATCAAGGTCGAAG